TTGCTCTGTCGCCAGGCGCCAGGCTGGAGTGCAGTGGCACCATCTCGGCTCACTGCAATCTCTGCCTCCCAGGTTCAAGCAATTCTCCTGCCTCAGCCTCCTGAGTAGCTGGGACTACAGGGGCGTGCCACCATGCCCAGCTAATTTTTGTATTTTTTAATAGAGACGGTGTTTTACCATGTTGGCCAGGATGAATTTTGCTTTTTAAGAAGTCTATTATATTTACCTATTAGTTTTTTAAAATTGCACTACTGGGCCTGGGAAACATAGCAGACCTCGTTTCTACTAAAAATTGAAAATTAGGGCCAGGTGTGGTGGCTCATGCCTATAATCCCAGCACTTTGGGAAGGTGAGGTAGGTGGATTGCTTGAGGCCAGGAGTTAGAGAACAACTTGGGCAACATAATGTGAAACCCCATCTCTACTAAAGTTTTTTTAAAAATTAGCCAGGGATTGTGGGACACACCTGTAGTCTCAGCTACTCTGGAGGCTGAGGTGGGTGGATCACTTGAGCTTGGGAGGCAGAGGTTGCAGGTTGCAGTGAGCCAAGATTGTGCCACTACACTCTACCTGGCAGACAGAGCGAGACTCTTGTCTTAAAAAAAAAGTAAAAGAAAATTATCCAGGTATGATGACACGTGCCTGCAGTTCTAGCTACTTAGGAGGCTGAGGTAGGAGGATGGCTTGAGCTCATGAATTTGAAGCTGCCAGTGAGCTTTGATTGCATGACTACATTCCTGCCTGGGCAGCAGAGCGAGACTTTCACTCAAAAAACAAAAAAAGCAGTACTTCTCCAATTCTAGAAACCTTAAGAAGGATTTTAGTACTAATGTTCTAGCTATCGATGTCCTTAAATATACGTTACTGTGGAATTGGGGTTGTATGTTCAATTTAGCATCTCTAATCTTTTCCATTGATTTTAATGAGATGTCTATTATTTTTTATTGTGGTAAAATAGGTAACATAAATTTTTTTATTTTCACCATTAAATGGCCAGTTCAGTGGCATCAATTGCATTTCCATCGTTGTGCAGCCGTTGCCACTATCTGTGTCCAAAACATCATAATCTCAAACCAAACCACTCTACTCATATACTATAACTCCACATTTCCCCTTCCCACTGGCCGTTGAGAAACTAATCTATTTTCTGTCTCAACAAATTTGCCTGGTGTAGATATTTTATCAGCTCACTGCAACCTCTGCCTCCTGGGTTCAAACAGTTTTCCTTCCTCAACCTCCCGAGTATCTGGGATTACAGGTGCGTGGCACCACACCGAGCTAATTTTTGTATTTTTATAGAGATGGGATTTCACCATGTTGGCCAGGCTGGTCTTGAACTCCTAACCTTGTGATCCGGCTGCCTCGGCCTCCCAAAGTGCTGGGATTATAGGCGTGAGCCACCGTACCCAACCTATTGTAGATATTTTAATCTGGAGTTGTACATTATATGTCCTTTTGTGTTTAGCTTATTTCACTTGGCACAGTGTCTCAGATTCATCTTATGTTGTAGCATGTGTCAGAACTTCATTTCTTTTCATTGTTAAATATTCTTTTACATGTGCTTAACTATCATCTGTTGATGAACACTTGGGTTGTCGATTATGAATTATGCTGTGATGTCCATTGGCATACAAGTGTCTGCTTGAGTCCCTGTTTTCAATACTTTTGAGTATACCTAGGAGTGGCATTGGTGGGGTCATATGGCAATTTTATATTTAACTTCTGAGAAACTATCCAGCTGTCTTCCACAGCAATGGCATCACTTTACATTCTATCTACAATGCACAAGAGTTCGGATTTCATCACATTCTTAGCTATACTTGTTATTTTCTATTTATTTTATTTTATTATTATTATTTTTTTAAAGATGGGATTTTGCCATGTTGTCCAGCTGGCCTTACTCTTCCTGCCTCAACCTGCCAAAGTGCTGGGATTACAGGCATGAGCCACCATGCCTGGCCTGTATATTTTCTTATATCCATTCTAGTAAATGTGAAGCGGTATCTTACTATAATTTTGATTTTGTGTTTCTCTAATGACTGATAATGTTTGTTACAGAACATCTTTTTGGGTGCTGATTGACCATCTGTCAATCTTCATTGTAGAAATATCTATTCAGGTTCTTTGCTCCGTTTTAAAAACTTGAATTGAAGAAACTTTTTTTTAGAGACATGATTTTGCTCTGTCGCCCAGACAGGAATGCAGTGCATCATCAAACTCACTGCAGCCTTCAAACTCCTCTGCTCAAGCAGTCCATCTGTGTCAGCTTTCCTAGCAGCTAGGACTGCAAGCATGTGCCACTAAGCTCGGCTGATTAAAAAACAAAAAATGTGTAGAGATGAGGTCTTATTATGTTGGCCAGGCTGGTCTCAAACTGCTGTCCTCAAATGATTCTTCTGTCTTGGCCTCTCAACGCACTGGGATTACAGGCATGAGCCACATTGCCTGGCATGTTCTTTTAATTTGGTTGGTTTTTGTTGTTGAGCTCCAGGAGTTCTTTTGATATTCAGATATCAGATATGTAATTATCAGGTATATCTCTGATAATTATGACTGTGACTATCATCATAATTAAGTATCTGTGACTATCATCAGATAAATGATTTGCAAATATCTTTCTCCTTTTCTGTAAAATTGTTTTTTTACTTTCTCAATAACATCTTTTTTTTAAGACAGAGTCTCGCTCTGTCGCCTAGGCTAGAGTGCAGTGGCACATTCTCGACTCAGTGCAACCTCTGCCTCCTTGTTTAAAGCAGTTCTTTTACTTCAGCACCCCCAAGTAGCTGGTATTACAGGCGAACACCACCATGCCTAGCTAATTCTTGAATTTTTAGTAGAGACGGAGTTTCACCATGTTGGCCAGGCTGGTGTCAAACTCCTGAACTCAAGTGATCCACTTGCCTTGGCCTCCCAGAGTGCTAGGATTGTAGGCATAAGCGACCATGCCTGGCCTCAATAATGTCTTTTGATGCCCAATTTAAAAATTTTGATTAAGTCCAATTTATCTTTTTCTTTTCTTTTGTTGCCTCCCCACCTATTTTTTTTTTTTTTTTTTTTTTTTTTTGGGAGAGTCTTGCTCTATCGCCAGGCTGGAGAGTACAAAAAATTAGCCGGGTGTGGTGGTGCATGCCTGTAGTCCCAGCTACTTGGGAGGCTGAGGCAGGAGAATTGTTGCCCATTTTTGTAGTGTCATATTAAGAATCCACTGTCAAATCTAAGGTCATGAAGAATTACCCCTATGTTTTGTTTTCAGGTTTTGGTTTTTATATTTAGATAATCTATTTTTAGTTAATTTTTATATATGGTATAAGGTGTAGGAGTTCAACTCTTCCCTTTTGCATGTGGAAATCTAGTTGTCTCAGCATCATTTCTTGAAGAGACTATTCTTTCCACATTAAATGACTTGATATCCTTGTCAAAAATCAGTTGACTGTGGTACATGGGTTTATTTTTGCACTCTCAATTCTGTTCTGTTGGTCTTTATGTCTGTCCTATGCCAGTACCACACTGTTTTTATTGTAGCTTTATAGTAAATTTTGAAATCAGGAAGTGTGAAGCTTCTAACTTTGTTCTTTTTAAAGATTGCTTTGACTATTTGGGAATCTCTGCAGTTCCATATGAATTTGAGGATCTACTTTTGTGTTTCTGCAAAAAAGTCTTTTGGAATCTTGATTGTAATTACATTGAATCTGCAGATTACTTGGGAAGTGTTGACATCATCACAATATTGTCTTCCAATCCGTGAACGTGGGATATCTGTCCATTTATTTGAACTTGTTTAATTTCTTTCACCAGTGCTTTATAGTTTTCAGTTTACAAGTCTTTTACATCATAGATTAAATTTATTTCTAGGTATTCAGTTCTTTTAGATGCTGTTGTAACTAGAATTGGCTTCTTAATTTTTTTTTTCCTTTGGATTTTCATTTCTGTTGCATAGAAACAATTGATTTTTGTGTATTGATCTTGTGTCCTGCAACTTTATTGAATTTGTATATTAAAATTTCTAGTAGCTTTGTTGTTAATTCTTTGATAGTTTCTGTGTGTGTAGGATCAGGTCATAGATGAATAGAGATCATTGTTCTTCTTCCTTTTCAATTTGGATGCTTTTCATTTCTTTTTCTTATCTCATTGCTCTGGCTAGAACTTCAGTATAGTATTGAATAGCAGTGGTGAAAGTGGGCATCCCTTGTCTTGTTCGCAATCTTAGAGGAAAGCTTTCGATGATTTACTATTGAGTATGATGCTTGCTGGAGGTTTTTCATAAATTCCCTTAATTTTGTTGAGGAAGGTACTTTCTATTTTACTGAGTGGTTTTTTAATCTTGAAAAGGTGTTGGGGTTTTGTCAGATGCCTTTTCTGTATCTACTGAGATGATGTAGTTTTTTCCTTATTCTGTTAATGTGGTGTATTACATAAACTGGTTTTCTTATATTGAACCACTCTTGTATTCCTAGAATAAATCCCACTTGGTCATGTGTAGAATCCTTTTACTACAGTGTTGGATTCTGTTTGTTAGTATTTTCTTGAGAAGTTTTGCATCTTTTTTCATAAAGAGTTTTTGATACTGTCTTTTTTTGTGGTGTCTTTATCTCACGTTGATATCAGAAATGCTGGCCTCATAGAATGAATTAAGAAGTGTTCCCTTTTATTTTAATTTTTTGAAGAGTTCGGGAAGGATTAGTACTAATTCTTCTTTAAATGTTTGGAGGAGTTCACTAATGAAGGCTTCTGGTCCTCGATTTTCTGCCATGTTCTTTATTACTGATTTAATATCCTTGCTTGTTACAAATCTGTTCATCTTGAGTCTGTTTTTGTATATTTTATGTTCCCAGGAATTTGTCCATTTTATCTAGCTTATCTGACTTGTTAGATGTAATTGTTCATGGTATTCTCCTATAATTGTTTTTATATCTGTCTTTTTTCTTTGTAAGTCTGGCTCCAGAGGTTTGTCAATGTTATCTTTTCGAATAACTAACTTTTGGTTTTGTTGATTCTTTCTAATATTTTTCTATTCTATTTTATCTCTACTCCTTCTTCTACCTTTGAAATTAGTTTACTACTTTCTAGTTCCTTAAAATGTAAAATTAGGTTACTGAACTGAGATCCTTTTTCAGTGTAGGTGTTTACTGCTACACATTTCTCTCTCAGCACACTCAGCTGCATCTCAGTACTCTTTGCTGTATGTTGTGTTTTAATTTTTATTCATCTCTAAGCTTTTTAAAAATCATATTTAAGATAGTTGTTTTGAAATATTTATCTCATAATTTTAATGTCTCAGAAATTTTTTCAGATGGAGTCTCCCTCTGTCTCCCAGGCAGGAGTGCAGTGGTGCAATCTCAGCTCGCTGCAACCTCTGCCTTCTGGGTTCAAGTGATTCTTTTGCCACAGCCTCCCGAGTAGCTGGGAGTACAGACGCCCGCCACCACACCCAGCTAATTTTTGTACTTTTAGTAGAGACAGGGTTTCCCTATGTTGACCAGACTGGACTCAAACTCCTGATCCACCTGCTTCGGCCTCCCAAAGTGCTGGGATTATAGGTGTGAGCTGTGTGACCACACCCACTGTCTCAGAAACTATTTTTGTCATTATATTTTGTTCTTTTGAGTGGACCATACTTTTCTATTTCTTTTTATGCCTTGTGAATGTTTTTGTTGGAAACTAGCCATTTCAGTATTGTAATGTGGTAAACTGTGGAAATCAGTTTTTCTCCTTCCCTAGGGTTTGACTTTTTTTTTTTAAGATTGTTGAAGGCTATAGTAGTCCATTTGTTTCATAAGTTTTAACCAGCTATTTTTTCAGAGTGTGTTTTTCTTGCCTTGTGTGGTTACTGAAAACTTTGTAGCTTAGCTTGTGTTTAGATAGTGTTTGATAGAGATTTCCTTGGATGCCAAGAGTGTTGGGATTAGGAAGCATGAAATAGAGAAGAAAACTTTTCCTAGTGTTTGCAGAATGGCTTTGTGCTATGATTCTTCTTCAACACTTAGCCATGAATGCATTGCTTGGGATCATCCCCATATACAAGCTTAACATCTTCTCTGGTCTTTTCCAAGCAAGAGTCTTATCTTGAGCATGTGTGTGGCTTTCTAAATTTCCCCTAATTTGTGGGTGCTTTTGAATATTCTAATTTCCCAAAGAAACACTCTCCCTAGCTTTTCCTCCTAGGCTTTAGGCAGCCTCTTCTGTGTCTCAACAATAATCTTTTGCCCTATGCACCTCCAGGTTGTTGTTCAGCTTTACAAAGCTTCAAGCAACACCTGTGTCATTTCTGGCTTGTATGAGGTTAAACAAAACGAGCCACACACTTTATATCAGTCCTTGGCTTCAGACAGGTTAGAATAGACATACCCAATAGTTTGCAAATAATCTGCTTAGCTCCGTGAACCACCGTGAGCTAGTGTCTCACAGCGAGGATAGAGTCTGCTGCTTTTGTGATTGTTGTCAAACTGGGGTGGAGTGGGCCAGGACAAGTAAAAGTCACCATGAAGCTTTCCTACTGTTTTTCAGTTGCATTTTTCTTGATTCAGTATTTTCTTGATTACTGTAAACCTTTGACTTTTTTACAGAATTCTAACAAAATTAGTTCTGACAATTTTGCCTATTTTTTAATGTTTCTGTTAAAGAATAGGAGCTTAGAGCTGCCTATTCTGCATTTTTCTGATGTCACTTCTGTTTTTGACTAATAAGCCATTAAAATATTTATGTCAAGGCATATAAGAATTAGGGATGCTGAATAAAAATGACTTCTGAATGAATTTATTTCAGAGTAATTTTCCAGAACTTACTGGTTGTTATTTTTTTTTTTTATCCTATATTAGGCCTTCTCGTATCATGGATGTGTCATTACGTAGCTTCTCCCTTTGTTGTGACTTACTAAGTCAGGTTTGCCAGACAGCAGTGACTTACTGTAAGGATGCTCTAGAAAACCATCTTCATGTTGTTGTTGGTACACTTATACCCCTTGTGGATGAGCAGGTGGAGATTCAGAAACAGGTAATTTTCAGAATCATTTTCAAAATGGTATTCAAAATATATTTATTAAGTATTGTTAGGATTTGAGTGTTTTATGTTTACTTGTATAATTGGTGATTTTAGTGAGAATATTTTTGTAAAATGATTGGAAAAATATTCTTAATGAATTAACCTTTGTAATCAATTACAGAGCACTTGGTACTTTTGATCTAGTAAATAACATGATAGTTTTATCTATTATGCTAAAGTATAGAGGTAGTCAAAACTAGGTATAGCAGTTCACAACATTATGGTCGTGTGAGTTACTACTTATATAAACTGTTTGATTCATATTGGCATTTTTTTAACCTCAGTACCCACCTTGTAGTAGTACCTTACATAGTTATTGAATTATTTGAAAACACAGAAACTAAAAGCTGGATATCTTAGATATAATTAGAGCATTTAATCTGATCTAGGTTAGTAGTTTTTATCATTTATTAGAATAAGTTTTTTGGCTTACTTTAAAATTAAGTATTTCTCTCCTTATAATTTTTTCTTTTTAAATTATATTTAGGTATTGGACTTGCTGAAATACTTAGTGATAGATAACAAGGATAATGAAAACCTCTATCTCACGATTAAGCTTTTAGATCCTTTTCCTGACCATGTTGTTTTTAAGGATTTGCGTATTACTCAGCAAAAAATCAAATACAGTAGAGGACCCTTTTCACTCTTGGAGGTAATAAAAATCTCATTATCTACTATTTTGTATTAGAGAACATAGACAGTGGTACTTTTAAAAAATCTGTAATGCTTTAGCAGTAAAAAATGGAGTGTGATTAAAAATATAAATGTAGGCCAGGCATGGTAGCTCATGCCTATAAGCCCTGTACTTTGGGAGGCTGAGGCAGGAGGATTGCTTGAGCCCAGGAGTTCAAGACCCACCCTGGGCAACATGGCGAAACCCCGTCTTTACAAAAAAGTAGCCAGGCTTGGTAATACATGCTTGTAGAACCAGCTACTCAGGTAACTGATATGGAAGGATCACCTGAGCCCTGGAGGTCAAGGCTGCAATAAGCTGAGATTGCAGCACTGCACTCCAGCCTGGGTGACAGAGTGAGACCCTGTCTTGAAAAAATGTGTGTGTGTGTGTGTGTGTGTGTGTGTGTCTGTAACATGAGATCTACCTGCTTAACAAATTTTTAAAAAATGAATCTTAATGTATCTCTTTGCATTGAAGTCAAAGTATAAATATCAAAACTTCCTGGTAAAGATCCAAATTTAAGTTTTCAAGGAATGTGACATAAACCAGTTTTGATTTTAACACATACGATCCTAAGGTCCACTGGTAGCTCAAAACTATTATTAGATCTTTTCAATGTCAGTTTAATGTTTGTGTTAGAGATGATGTTTAACTTTTGAAAGCATATTTCAAGTTTTTAATCTTTATAAATCTCAAAATTATGTTTAGGTATATTCTTCCCTACAAATATTAATTATAATTTTTAAATGATAGTCTGTATCTGACTCTATATAAATATAAAAACATTTAAATATGTTAAGATGTAGAGTTATACTACTAAAGAGAAGTTTAAGCATTTCCCTCCAGTTGAGTGTGCTATAGCAATCTTGAAACCTGTGTTACCATGAGAGAATAGATTAGAATTTAAAGGATTAGGCCAGGTGCAGTGGCTCATGCCTGTCATCCCAGCACTTTGGAAGGCTGAGTCAGGCGGATCACCTGAGGTAAGGAGTTTGAGACTAGCCTGGCCAATATGGCAAAACCCCATCTCAATAAAAATACAAAATCAGCTGGACATGGTGGCTCATGCCTGTAAATCCCAGCTACTTGGGAGGCTAAGACACAAGAATCACTTGAACCCGAGAGGCAGAGGTGACAGTGAGCTGCGATAGCGCCCCTGCACTGCAGCCTCAGTGACAGACCGAGACTCTGTCCAAAAAAAAGAATTGAAACATTCTAAGGTTTGCAGTGGAGGAAGTTATTTATTTATTTCTTGTTTGGTAGTAATAGTCACATGACTCAGTGTCTATAAAAGGCACTTACTAATTTTTTTCTTTTATTAAGTTTTATTTCACAAGCTTAACCAATGCATGTTAAAAGCAAGTTACATTGTAATCGTTTTTCTCTTTTAGGAAATTAACCATTTTCTCTCAGTAAGTGTTTATGATGCACTTCCATTGACAAGACTTGAAGGACTGAAGGATCTTCGAAGACAGCTGGAACTACATAAAGATCAGATGCTGGACATTATGAGAGCATCTCAGGGTACTAATTTTAATGAGATGGGTTATTTCTGGCTGTTTCTTTTTGAAAGAATATTTTGTAAATTCTTGCTCTTGCTTTCATTATCACAGACTTAGTTGAGACTCTCTTCATTTAGCTCAGACCCTCATTTCTCATCTAACTGTAAAACTGGTCCTAACTGGTCTCACCCTGAACTCTTCCTATTTTATTCATCCTCTGCCAGAACAATGTCTCTAAACCCAAATGTGATCATGTTTTTCTACTGCCTAAATTTTTGGGTTTTTTTAAGAGAGAGAGTCTCACTGTGTCAGCCAGACTGGAATGCAGTGGCCCTTCTCCTGAAGTGCACCATTGTAACTCACTGGATCCTTGAATTCCAGGGTTCAAGGAATCCTGTCTCAGCCTCCTGAATAGCAGTGACTATAGGCACAAGCCACTACACCTAGCCACTTTATTTATTTATTTATTTAAGGAACAGGGGTCCCATTATGTTGCCCAGGTTGGTCTCAAATTACTGGCTTTAAGCAATCCTCCTGCCTTGGCTTCACAAAGCATTGGGATTAGAGGCACAAGCCACTGCATCTAGCCATGCTTAAATATTTTTAACATCTTCTAACTGTGAAAAAGAAAATTTTAATTTCTTAGAGCCAGGCATATAAGTTAGCCTTCTTTGCCTTCCAGTCTAATTTACCTGAAAGAAATATGTATCATTTTAATACTTTAGTCATGTGTGTTATGTGTGTGTATATATACATATATATTTGTAAATTTTTCAAGCTTGCATTTTACTTATGAAAACATCTATGTTTATGTTAATTTGATTTGAAATGTATATTATTATAGTATTTGGGAAACTTTCTACTTTAAGTTTTGATTTTCATCTTCCTGTAACAATTTCATATTTCTCTTATGTTGTTTTTACCCTCAGTAGTACTTTTTAAGATGAATTTTAGTTTTGACTATCTGAGCACAGAGTTTCTAGTACATTTGAGATATATAAAATATATGTAAGTAGAAACACAACTATTTCTTGTTCTTGAGTATTTTATGGGCTAGATCTGCCTTCAGCATTATAGCCATTAGCCATTTGGCCACTTAAATGAAGTAAAATTAAATGAGATTTGAAGTTCAGTTTTTTTCATTGTACTGAACACATATCAGGTTGTCAGTGGTACATTTAGTCAGTGGTGGTCATTGGACAGTTCAAATTAATGACATTTCCATCATTGCAGAAAGTTCTGTGAGACAGTGCTGGTCTTAACTCTAAATGTTAAAGCCAAGCAGGCTCCCAAGTCCCTTCTAGCTTTAGTGTTGAATGATTCTTGTGCTTCTGTTTGTGATTTTGCTAAAGTATTGACTTAATCTGCACAATTTGTTCGAGACATTTTATTTTCTCTGTTGTCAAATGTTGCTAATTACTTTCAAAATAATTTGTTATATAAAGATGTTCATATTCATTCCCTATGTATTTTTTGAGCTACTCATGACTTAAAACTTTTTTTTTTTTTGAGACAGAGTCTTGCTTTGTTGCCCAGGCTGGAGTGCAGTGGCACAATCTTGGCTCACTGCAACCTCCGCCTCCTGGGTTAAAGCAATTCTCCTGCCTCAGCCTCCTGAGTAGCTGGGACTACAGGCATGAACCACCATAACCGGCTAATTTTTGTAATTTTAGTAGAGATAGCGTTTCACCATATTGGCCAGGCTGGTCTCGATCTCCTGACCTTGTGATCTGCCTGCCTCGGCCTCCCAAAGTGCTAGGATTACAGGCATGAGCCACCATGCCGGCTGACTTAAAACCTTTTTTAAGCTTTATAAAAGTTTTCTAGTCAGATAATTTAATATATATGTAATTATAAACAAATTGTGTCTTCATGCTAGTTTAAACTAATTATTAAAAAATTATTTCTAGATCATCCACAGGATGGGATTATGGTGAAGCTAGTTGTCAATTTGTTGCAGTTATCCAAGATGGCAATAAACCACACTGGTGAAAAAGAAGTTCTAGGTAAACTACAGTCATGCACTGCATGGTAACATTTCAGTCAACCATGGACCACATATCGGACAGATTATAATACTGTATTTTTACTGTATGTTTTCTGTTTAGATAAACAAATACACTTGTGTTATAATTGCCTATAAATCACTTGATTGAAGTCAGCTTGAAGCTCTCGTGATGGTTTTACTTCAAATGAGAAAAATAGGAGGAATAAGTAGTGTTTCACAGATTCTGCTATCTTCAACAGTCTGCCTTAACTTTTCAGTAGGAACCTAGTATCTAGAGTACTTCCTTTTTTGTAGACTTTTAAAAATTAAAATATATCCTATGTATAGAAAAGTATACAGATCAAAAATACCTAACTTGAAGAATGTTAGGTATTTTTGATCTGTATACTTTTAAGTACAGTCTAAGAAATGGAATCTTACCAGAACCCTAGAAGTTTTCTTTAACCAGAAAATTTACCTCCTTGTCTATAGTGGCACTGCTTTTACGAACAGATCTGATTTGCAACAGAAGCCCTAAGTGGCTTTCCTATGTAGCATAAAGTTAATGTGGTCTGTACTCACAGCTAACATCATATTCAGTGGTGAGGGACCGAAAGCTTTCTCCTTAAGATCAGGAATGAGACAAGGTTGTCCACTTTCACTACTGCTATTCAACATTGTACTGGAAGTTCTAGCCAGAGCAATTGGACAAGAAAAAGAAATTAAAAGCATGCCAATTAGGAAGGAAGTAAAACTATCTGTATTTACAGATGGCATGATCTTATATAGAAAATCCCAGAGGATCCACAGGAAATCTGCTGTAGAGCTAATAAATGAATTCAGCAAAGTTGCAGGGTACAAGATCAACACATAATTTGTTGTGTTTATATATACTTGCAGTGTATAGCCCAAAAAGAATTAGAAAAGCAATTCTATTTGCAATAGCTTCTAAAAGAAATAAATACCCAGGAATAAATTTAATCAAAGAGATGAAAGACTTATATACATTCTGTTTGTTAGAAGTGAGTCACTAAGTACAGCCCACACAACAAGAGCAAAGTTAGGCTCTACTCTTTGAAAGAAGGGCTCTCAAAGAATTTGTGAACATACTTTAGTAAATACTATCATGATAGAAAGAACACAAAGAGCCCTCCGGGATGCTGAAAATGTCCTGTCTTCATCTGGTTAGGGAGAACACAGGTAGAAAAAATGTATATTTGTATGCATAAATTTTCATTGACCTGTGTGTTTAAGGTTATGGAATTTATGTGTGTTATATCTCAAAAAAATTTTTTAAGAGTTTTAAGGTTGATTCTTTTTTTTTTTTTCCTTTTGTCACCCAGGCTGGAGTGCAGTGGTGTGATCTCGGCTCACTGCAACCTCTGCCTTCTGGGTTCAAGCAGTTCTCCTGCCTCAGCTTCCTAAGGAGCTGGGATTACAGGTGTGCACCACCATACCTGGCTAATTTTGTATTTTTAGTAAAGATGGAACTTGACCATGTTTGTCAGGCTGGTCTCGAACTCCTGACCTCAGGTGATCCTCCTGCCTCTGGCTCCCAAAGTTCTGGGATTACAGTTGTGAGCCACCGTGCTTGACCTTAAAGTTGATTTTTGAAGTACAGCAAAACAGCATTATAGTTTTGAAATTAGAAAATTTCAGTTTTATGTATGATCTCTTACCTGTGACTCTACTGAAATAGAATTTCTATATGTAGAGGCTGTTGGAAGCTGCTTGGGAGAAGTGGGTCCTATAGATTTCTCTACCATAGCTATACAACATAGTAAAGATGCATCTTATACCAAGGCCCTCGAGTTATTTGAGGATAAAGAACTTCAGTGGACCTTCATAATGCTGACCTACCTGAATAACACACTGGTAGAAGATTGGTGAGTATTTACTGATGCCTGATATCTGATCTCACTTACTTAATTTGACATTCATGGAGAATAATACCTCACACAAACTGATCCTCTCAGTAACTAAAACTTTGTCCTTTTTTTAATCTCAGTGTCTTTATGACAATTCTTGTATTATTATTAATTCACGTAATTATTGACTACGCTATGTGCCAGACACTTGATATAATGGTGAACATTCCAGACAAGGTCCCTGTTAGAAATTTTAGTGGGACTAGACAAATCAACAGTAAATAAGAATAATACCAGTTGGTTCTACACAGAAGATAGGGGAATATAAAGGGAGCTGTTTTAGTCTCTTGTCAGTATCAGAGGTGCCACTCTCCTCTAAGCTAGGTCTTATTTTGATCCTTTTAAAATAAGCCATAAAGCAGAGATTGTTTAATAACCCTGGAAGCCTTAAGCTAATCAGACAGGGTTTTCAATTGCTTATTTATTCTCTATGCAAAACAGAATTCCACTAAATATTATCAAAATTTCAGCTGGTTGGTTGAGATCACTTTGGTGTGCGTGCTATTTCTCTCTCCCTTATTTATTTATTTATTTGTTGATTGACTGGTATCCTTGAGTACTACATCACCATTTTTGGTGGTAGATTCAAAGGGTTTCCTCACAACTGGGCACCTTTCTAAGATAAATATGTGTTTTGATTTTTTTCTCTACTTCCCTTCCTCCTCTTGAGGAATAAATGATTGGCAGTAACATCTACCTGCCATGTTTCCGTTATTGATTTAATGTACCTATGTATTTCTTTCTTTTGTTTCTGTTTCATTAAACAATTTTGTATGGTTTCTTTCCCAATCTTTTATTATGAAAAGTTTTGGTGGGGCGCAGTGGCTTACGCCTGTAATCCCAGCACTTGGGGAGGCTGAGGCAGGCAGATCACGAGGTCAGGAGATCAAGACCATTCTGGCCAACATGGTGAAACACCATCTCTACTAAAAATAGAAAACAATTAGCTGGGCATGGTGGTGCATGCCTGTAGTCCCAGCTACTAGGGAGGCTGAGGCAAGACAATTGCTTGAACCCAGGAGGCGGAGATTGCAGTGAGCCGAGATTGCACCACTGCACTACAGCCTGGGTGACAGTGTGAGACTCTGTCTCATTAAAAAAAAAGTTTTAAACATACAGCTAAATTGAAATAATTTTATAGTAAACACCCATACACTTATCATTTAGTTTCTCCATTTTACTGCTGTCCTTGCTTTATCACTTGTAGCCATTCGTCTGTCCTTGTATTAAGATGTATTAATTCATCTCTCTCTCTTTTTTTATTTTTTTGAGACAAAGTCTCACCCTATCACTTAGGCTGGAGTGCAGTGGCATGATCATACATCATAGATCATAGCTCACTGTAACCTTGAATTCCTGGGCTCAAGCAGTCCTTCTGCCTCAGCCTCCTAATGTGCTAGGTTTATATGCGTAAGTCACATCACATCTAGCCAGTTCATCTCATTTTTAAAATGTATTTCAAGGTATATCAAGCCAGTTTTTGAAGAGTGTACCACAGAAAATTGGCAAGTTCAATGTTTCATTTGTTTCATAGTAATTTGAAATTGGTTTTTCTGAAACAGACTCACAGAAATATTAGTGAGACTTAAGAATACTAGGAAGCAGGTGCAAGTTTTTTGTACTTTTCTTTAAGAGGAAAAATCTTTAGATGTTCAAAGGACTTTAGCATATGAAGATGTGGACCAAAGGATTCCCAGAATCTTCATGACTTTCAAGTATTTCTTTTTGTGAGTCCTTTTCATTTATAGTAGTCACAATTAAACTTTATTGTATTGAATGAAGGGACGTGCTGTTGCGGTGATTAATAATTCAAGTTTACTGAATGAATAGTGAAAGTCCTTTGATAATTTTGTTTCATACTGGAGAATTTTATAGATGTAAAGTTTCTTAATATAAATTTAACATTTTAGTTTTGAAATTTTTGTGGTGGAGGTTAACATTCATCAAGATTAATAACAAGTGTACTTTATAGGCATTTGAATTATTTGTTTTTTCAGTGTCAAAGTTCGATCAGCAGCTGTTACCTGTTTGAAAAACATTTTAGCCACAAAGACTGGACATAGTTTCTGGGAAATTTATAAGATGACAACAGATCCAATGCTGGCCTATCTACAGCCTTTTAGAACATCGAGAAAAAAGGTCTCTAATAAATGTTTATTGAATACCCACCATATCTAATAAAATAGTTCTGTTTGCTGTGGGTCGTGACTGTTAAATTGCTTGAAATAGTATTGTACTAACAGCCTTTTCTATAAGTAATTTAAACCATACTTCACAAACCCAGAGAATTTGTTGTTTTTTAATTTATTATGGCAGTGTAGAAATGCTGAGACAGGTAACCTGAGGAAATAGTAGTTGATTTTGGGGGAGGGGAAATTCTTAAATATAGACCTTTTTTTTTTTTAAGAAATAGAGAACCTTACCTTGCTCCCATGAAAGTTGTAAGTTTTGAGTATAGTTTATAGGTATTGTGATCCACAAGTGTTTATTTCCATGGCAAGTTAACATATCACAATCCCCTCGTGAAATATAGGATGACCCTGTAGATTTCTCCCTTTTCCATGCTGGTATCATAATAAGGTTCTACTGTAAGTACTCTGTGAAGCACGTTTAAGAACACTTGTTCCTTCCTTAATCTAAGCATTCCTCTTTAATATTTTCTTGTCATAAAGTGACTGAGAAATACTCAGTTTAGTTTTCACCAATTTAATTTCATGGCAGAAGCCTGGCATTGAAGTAGTACTTTCAATGGATCATAAATACAATTTTGGCCGGGTGCGGTGGCTCAAGCCTGTAATCCCAGCACTGTGGGAGGCCGAGGCGGGTGGATCACGAGGTCAAGAGATCGAGACCATCCTGGTCAACATGGTGAAACTCCGTCTCTACTAAAAATACAAAAAATTAGCTGGGCATGGTGGCACGTGCCTGTAATCCCAGCTACTCAGGAGGCTGAGGCAGGAGAATTGCCTGAACCCAGGAGGCGGAGGTTGCGGTGAGCCGAGATCGCGCCATTGCACTCCAGCCTCAGTAACAAGAGCGAAACTCCGTCTCAAAAACAAAACAAACAAACAAACAAACAAAAACATAAATACAATTTTGGTCTTAGTAAAATTACTAGTAATATAAACCATTAATGAAGCTAGTTAATGTGTAATGTAGATAAAACCTGGAAAGCACTATAATTTTAACATTTAAAAATCTCATTTCATTTTGAAATCAAGTCTCTGTGGTAGATGTGGACTGGTTTTGTATGTGAGACAGATGAGGCAAAGTTTGTGATTTGTGTAATACACTACTAATGAGTGACAGAGCTGAGAGCAGAACCCAAGTTTCCTGCTGCCTAAAACAGCAGTTTTTACATACCACTCTGCCTCTTGTATAAGCATAAATGTTTTAATTTTAAAAGGTAAACATTGCCTCCAGATTTAGTTTTAACTGTATTTAGCTTTATTTATAAACAGATTTCTTATACTCATTTTGTATAGGAAAAGTAAAATGATTTCCAGTTCTCTTATTTGCATTTTCTAATCCCCTTCTTTCTAGTTTTTAGAAGTACCCAGATTTGACAAAGAAAACCCTTTTGAAGGCCTGGATGATATAAATCTGTGGATTCCTCTATGTGAAAATCACAACATTTGGATAAAGACACTGACTTGTGCTTTTTTGGACAGTGGAGGCACAAAAAGTGAAATTCTTCAATTATTAAAGCCAATGTGTGAAGTAAGATTAGTCTGATTTTATTCCTCATTTATTACATGTTTATTTAAAGAGTGCTGGAATACTACACATAATCTTCATGTAATATCACCCCCACTCAAACTGTTGTAAATTTATTAAAGTGAGCATCCAGCCGGGCGCGGTGGCTCAAGCCTGTAATCCCAGCACTTTGGGAGGCCGAGGCGGGTGGATCACGAGGTCAAGAGATCGAGACCATCCTGGTCAACATGGTGAAACCCCGTCTCTACTAAAAATACAAAAAAATTAGCTGGGCATGGTGGTGCGTGCCTGTAATCCCAGCTACTCAGGAGGCTGAGGCAGGAGAATTGCCTGAACCCAGGAGGCGGAGGTTGCGGTGAGCCGAGATCGCGCCATTGCACTCCAGCCTGGGTGACAGGACAAGACTTCATCTCAAAAGAAAAAAAAAAAAGTGAGCATCCGTATTTAGCCATAACTTTATGCATTAGGTTTCAGCTTTGGGATAGCAACATGCTAGAGGAGTTCTAAGGGATGCCTTGAATAATTTGTTACTAATGATTGTTAAAATACTTTGATATAAATTATTTACATTAACCAAAAGCCTGTTCTAACTTTGTTAACTTCTTCTGATAAGAGCACATTAATTTTCCTTGATATGCTTTCTTGAATAAGAAAAAGGAGTGGGGCAGCAATGTTTTTATTTTTAAGGACACAGTACAATTTATTTCAATAAAGAGTAAAGGTATATACGAAATGAAACAAAGTTTATACTCTTCCATCAAATGTGTAATCAGAAACAACACACTCTAATGAGCTAAGATTTACAGAATTTATAGCACTGTTAAACCTGATTCAACAGAAATGTGAAAACACAGTATCTGACTAGTCAAATGTCTGCCAATTACAGGTAACTGATAGGGAAATATTTTCATGAAGTACCCACATCGAAAGCAATATGAAATGCAGTTCTTATTTTCTAAAGAAAAAGTAGTAACAGTGAATAAAACATCACCTTTTCTATAATACTACACCACACTCACACCAATTCAGCAGAGTGGTACCCTGAACACACGTATTTATTTCTCATTAGTGAACAAAGCTAAGAATTTTTATGAGGTTTTTAACTTTGAGCCGGAAGATAAAATGTTCCCAATATACATATGAACCCACCTCATTTCTGGTAGTTTAAATTATCTAGCACTAAAACTGGCTTTTTGTCTTGTCTTTAGTTTGAAAAAGAAAGAGTGCAGTTAGTAATCTATAAGCTGTCTTAGGTGTGTGGAAATGATGAATATGATGAATATGGAATGTAATGATCCATTCATATGTTAAATATGGAGTACGGTGAATAGCAAAAATAAAGTTGAGTACTGTTTTGATGTGCCAGATGTATAGAGCACTTTTCTGCTCTTTGGAATATACCACAAATAATTACCCAAATTTTATACCCAGAAATTGGGGCTTATTAAAAAATAAACATTTTTAACATGACTGTTGTACTTCTTCACTGAGGATAGAAAATGCATAAAAATCGGATTTTTAACTTTTCTCTTAAACATTTGATACATTTTCCCCTCTTCTATCAAATCAGAAAACTTCTCTAACACTTTTCAACTCTGAAACTGTATTTAAAGTGGTGATATAATTTCATTTGTACGCAGTATCCTAGTTCATTATGCTAATGGCCTAGACTGGGAATGAACAGTTACAGTGTCACTAACATATATATTTGATATTGATATACTAGCCTAGCGTGGTTTTGTTTTAAATACCACCTGATACATGTTTTTTGTTTGTTTTTTAGCAGTATGTTGAGTTTATGCCAGATTAATCTATACTCTTAGAAATTTAATATGTCAACAACAGGGCATGAAAATTTTAAGTAAACTGTATTCATTTTACTTATGTTTGCTCAAACTATTGGGTGGATTTGTTTATATATTCTAGGTGAAAACTGACTTTTGTCAGACTGTACTTCCATACTTGATTCATGATATTTTACTCCAAGATACAAATGAATCATGGAGAAATCTGCTTTCTACACACGTTCAGGGATTTTTCACAAGCTGTCTTAGACACTTCTCACAAACGAGCCGATCCACAACCCCTGCATACATGGACTCAGGTACTCTTATTAAATTTTTAACATTAATGCTGTTAACTCCTCAGTTCTAGAGAAAGCCAGATTTAAAGTTGAATCCCACTAAAGGCACTTTACAGACTTAAATCTATTACTTCTAAATTTGTTTCTTCATCTGTGGAATGGAGATAGAAGTTGCAACAAGTTTTCAACGAAATAGTATGTGTAAAGTGCCCAGGATAATCCTTGATGTATAGTATTCTCTCAGTATATTTTGGGTATTGATAATGGAACAACTAATAGAGCTTTCAATATGTGTCAGGCACTGTGCCTGCACAGGCAATATGAATGTGAAAAAGAAACACCCAACATTCTGGCAATGGAAAAAAAAACACAGTATTTTAGGTACTGTGGTGCAGATATGATAAAATTTTCATATTTTCAGAGCTCTGGCCAACTCTATTTAAAAAGCAACCTTTGGCCGAGTGCGGTGGCTCATGCCTATAATCTCAGCACTTTGGGAGGCAGAGATGGGCAGATCACCTGAGGGAAGGAGTTCACTTATACTTCAAGACCAATCAATTCTAGTATATAAATGTTGATTTAATGTGATGCTTTGCCACAACTAATTTGCTCCTCCCAGTCCTTCCAGTCACTTCAGCAAAGGTTGTAATTACTCAGTTCTTCCAATTGTTTCTTCTGCTTTTACTGCTATAACCTTCATTTGACATGGCTTTAATGTCATTTAGACTTCAGTTTGCTGTGCTTTATATTTTATGTATTTTTCTATTGGGTAACAGCAATGACAAATCTACTATTTGGAAAAGTACATTATAAATTATAAACACAGACATGGATGCCCATTTTGTGATCCTACTAGATTGTAAGCTGATTTTCTAAATGATTCAGAATGTGCTTATGTGAATTTTCTTTAGGCCACTGAAATGAAAATCCTGAAATAAAAATTCTCATAGAGGCTTTGTAAACTACTTAAAATATATCTCTTATGTTTAATTGGGAAAATGCAGGTATAAACGATTTAAGCATTATGTAATTTACACCACTGTTAAAAACAATTTTTATTATAGTTTAAGGTAATCATTGTTTATGATAACCTGGTAATTTGTTATGAACATGGCCAAGACTTTTTTCATGTTTATCACTTATGTATACATATTTATGCTACAGCCATTGAAAATAATTATTTTATCTGTGTACAATGCCAATATTTTTATCTTAAGTGAAAATTTAAATTTACATATAAAATTCTATTATTGAAAAGGAAAGTAAATGCGTATTTTTATAAAATTTAAATGGTATATCTTTTCTGATGGCTGTAAGTCTCACTGCCTTCACTAAACGTCCCATGTGCATCTCAGGCTCAACTGTCAAAAAGCAAACACATCATCTTCTTCATCTCTTCCCCCTGGCCTACTTCTTTTAATGTGTATATACCTCTTTGACAAACAGCATTTAGTTGCTTACTCTAGAAACAGCACTCAGTTGCTTACTCTAGAAACTTCTCTCACATATTTCACGGGATTGCCAAATCTTGCCAATTCTGTGTTATGAATCACTTAGTCCATTTGTTTCTCTCTGCCCTTAGCATCCTTACTGCTTTCTAACTTTATGACTTAGCACAGTTGAAATTCTTTCATTAAATTGTCCAAGTTATGTCTTGCTTCCAGCCATCTCAGATATTATTATTACCTGTAGCACTGTCCTCATGACTAACCATTACTCTTCTTTCAGGTATCACTTTTTCTTTTTTCTTCTCAAGACAAGACACTTGCTATGTGACCCAAGCTGGAGTGCAGTGGTGTGATCTCAGCTCATTGCAACCTCTGCTTCTCAGGCTCAAGCGATTCTTGTGCCTCAGCCTCCTGAGTAGCTGGGATTGTGTCAGCATGCCCTGCTATTTTTTTGTATTTGTAATAGAGACGGGATTTCACCATGTTGGCCACGCTGGCCTCAAACTCCTGGCCTCAAGTGAACTGTCTGCCTCAGCCTCCCAGAGTGTTGGGATTACAGGCATAAGCCATTGCACTTGGCCAGTATCACTTTTTCTATGAAACTTTTCTTGTCTAGTTGAGGTTCCCTCCCCTAAGCTTCTGTAGCACTTTAAACTTTCCTATTGTGATACTTATCATACTTTGTGGTAACTCCTGGGCTAGTCCATGAGTTCTGTGTGATCTGACATGGCCTGTCTTGTTCATGGTTATATACTAAGGACTTAGCACATAAAAGATCTTACTGAATCAATGAATTCATCCTCGTCAAAAATAAAATATAAATTACAATGTAAGCTGTCACTTTGATTATAAGAGAATATTTTAAAAGCAAAAGAAATGCCATTAAATTCCTTCAGAACCAATTTTGTGTTAGGTACTGCCCCTCCAGAACCTTGTAGCATAGTGGGAGATAGACACATAAATAAGAAGGAAAAAGGTGTGTAAGCAAACATGCCTGGGACTGAGAGGAGATATTTTTGTTTGTCAGAATCAGAACACTTTTCCCGATGCTGTTTGGATAAAAAATCACAAAGAACAATGCTTGCTGTTGTGGACTACATGAGAAGACAAAAGAGGTATGTAATGAGTGTTGCTTCTCACGTTTAGAATCTAGCCTGTAACTTTTTAACTACTGGCTGAATTTTAACACAGTTATTTAGGTAAAGCTGCTGTAAAGTGCTATATTTAATTTGTGTGATATTTATATCTCCTTGCGTAATCCATATGCAGGATAGCACTTTGGTTAAATCAGTGTCAAGAACTCTCAATTCTAATACACGCCGTACCATTAAGAGTGTTACTTTTGTTAAACTGTGCAGCCTTCTTGGCTTCAATTTATTTAATCTATATTAGTGATGGGATATGAGCAAGTAATTTTCCAAGTTACATTTAGCTGTATTACCTCCCTTTTTACTTTTCTCTTTGCTTTAGTTCTAAGAAGCAAATAGAGTTGTATAAATATCTTCTTTATATATCTTTAAGATGTGAGTTTCTTTACTGTATTCAGTAGTCTCAAAATCTGTGGCAATACTGTGCTATGACTATGTTTATTTTCTTCATTCTGGTAAATTGTTTTATAGTATAGTATCTTTGTTCCTCTTACTAGTCGTGCGATTTTTAATAATGCATACAGGAATTGCTAGAGTGGATAGTCTAACTGACCAATACTGCTCAAGAGTTGACCAGAACTCTAAAGAAATAGTGTAGTAGGCCTATAATTTGAAACGGTAGAAATCGATGTCTCATGAGTGTGTATGGTGGTGGTGGCAGTGTTTGGTAAAGAATACGAGGGACAGGTGAGTGAAAAATGGAATTTTTTTAAAGCCTAAATGTATTAACATCTTAAAAAATTAATTTCTATATATTCTTACACCATTCCTCTCCTCTAGTAGAAAAAGAAGTTTTATGCCTTTCAGTGTCTTTATTCTGTTTAGAAAGTTACTGATTTACCTTATAGTTTTATACCAGATTTTCTTCTAAGAAGGCCTATCAGAAGCTTTTTTTTTTTTTTAAATTATTTAAGTTCTGGGGTACATGTGCAGAACATGCAGGTTTGTTACATGGCTATATACATGCCATGGTGATTTGCTGCATCCATCACCCTGTCATCTACATTAGGTATATTTCCTAATGTTATCCCTCCCCTACCCACCCACCCCCTGCTATCCCTCCCCTAGCCCCCCACCCCCTGGCAGGCCGTTGGTGTGTGATATTCCCTTCCCTGTGTCCATGTCTTCTCATTGTTCAATACCCACTTATGAGTGAGAACATGCGGTGTTTGGTTTTCTGTTCTTATGTCATTTGGCTCAGAATGATGATTTCCAGCTTTATCCATGTCCCTGAAAAGAACACGAATTCATCCTTTTTTATGGCTGCATAGTATTCCATGGTGTGTATGTGCCACATTTTTTTATCCAGTCTATGATTGATGGGCATTTGGGTTGGTTCCAAGTCTTTGCTATTGTGAACAGTGCTGCAATAAACATACATGTGCATGTGTTTTTATGAATGATTTATAATCCTTTGGGTATATACCCAGTAATGGGATTGCTGGGTCAAATGGTATTTTTAGTTCTAGATCCTTGAGGAATCACCACACTGTCTTCCACGATTGTTAAACTAATTGGCATTTCCACCAACAGTATAAAAGCATTCCTATTTCTCCACATCCTCTCCAGCATCTGTTGTCTCCTGATTTTTTAATGATCACCATTCTAACTGGTGTGAGATGGTATCTCAATGTGGTTTTGATTTGCATTTCTCCAATGACCAGTGTTGAGCTTTTTTCACGTGTTTGTTGGCTCCATAAATGTCTTATCACAATCAGAAGCTTTAAATGTAGCTGAGAGCATTTGTTTTCTTGGTGCTGGGAGGCAGTTTTACCCGTAACATTTGAGACTTACCTTTGGAGTAGAATGGTGTTGACATTGGCAGGATTTGGAGAAGAAAAAATTCTTCATATTCCATTTTAATTCTGAGTAAGATCATGAAGAAGATTCCTTAAGAAAATATGAATGGGATATAGAAAAAGGGGTAAAGATATGAATTCAAGTCCAAGCTTATGCTGTACAAAAATTACTTGTTATCCTGTACAGTATGTTGGGCAAAAACAAAGAACGACAATAGAACAACAACAAAAAATTACTTGATGACTTTGAACCTCAGTCTTAGCATCTTTCAAAATCAGAATAATGTTGGCAGTGTCTTCCTTTCCATGGCAAATTATTTCACTTCTCTGAACTTCATGTTCCTCAAAAAATTAGTATAGTTGAATGCTTGCTATGTAGTAGGGTGTGCCTTATTCATCAACTTTGCAGGCATTATTTAATGGTGGCACCCATTCTCCAAGGTCTGTGTTGTTCTAGCATTTACAAGTAAGGAAACTGAGGTTTAAGAAGTTAAGTTGCTGATGATCACACAGCTGGTAGTAGATAATATAGCTGGATTTGAACCTACCTCTATTGAACTTCAATACCAGTGCTCTTAACCAATACCATTGTCCCATCTCTATAATGCTAGTTTTGACAAAGATAATATCTGGCTGGGTGCAGTGGCTCATGCCTATAATCCCAGCACTTTGGGAGGCTGAGGTGGGCAGATCACAAGGTCAGGAGATCGAGACCATCCTGGCCAACCTGGTGAAACCCCGTCTCTACTAAAATACAAAAAATTAGTTGAGCATGTTGGTGCACACCTGTAGTACCAACTACTCAGGAAGCTGAAGTAGGGGGAATTGCTTGAACCCAGGAGGTGGAAATTGCTGTGGGCTGAGATTTTGCCACTGCACTCCAGCCTGGCAACAGAGCAAGATTCCATCTCAAAAAAAAAAAAAAAAAAGATAATGTCTATGGTCCTTTTCAATCTCAACCTACCTATTAACAGACTGGAAGATTTTTATTAAGTAGCCCAATCTAGGCAATACATTAAGGAGAAAATAAGTCACATTAGGAAAGACATGTATCTGTGTCTTAGATGAGACAATATTTTTGTCAAATTGACTATTTTAAAGTGTGTGTTGGGGTGGTGCTTGTGTGCATTTGCATTAATTATTCTGTGTATCCTATTCTTAGCCTGTGGTACATGGATTTCTTGGTGGAGAGCAGATATGAACCCCAATTTTGTATCAGGTGATAGCCTATAGTTTCATCAGATTTTCTGATGAGTTTGAGGGAAAACAGAAAAACCAAAAAGATTATTAAATAGGACTCTTCAGCCATATTATTTTATAATGTTTATAGGCATATTTTGGGGAAATGTGGTTTTTAGGAATTTGTAATTTTCTGTCAAGCATTTACTACCATTGTATTTTAAACCAACATGCTTTTCTTTTGATATTGAAATTTTAAAAAGTGAATGATATACCTCATTTTTCTTTAGGCCTTCTTCAAGAACAATTTTTGATGATGCTTTCTGGCTGGATTTAAATTATCTAGAAGTTGCCAAGGTAGCTCAGTCTTGTGCTGCTCACTTTACAGCTTTACTCTATGCAGAAATCTATGCAGATAAGAAAAGCATGGATGATCAAGAGAAAAGGTAATGGAGTTTAGAATTTTTGGTTTGTAAAATAAATATTGACATTGTCTCAATAAGGGTATATGATAAAGATTTAGTTTGCCCCCAGTTCCCCATTTAAAAGACATCTTAGGTAGAAATTTTGTTTTAAAGTGAAATTATAATAACATTTTAAAAAGAAATATGTAATTCCTCCTCTTAAATAATAGGAATGTTTATTACTTAGGTATTATAAAAATTGTACAGATAGCAAATTCCTATAGGACAGAGTCCATACTTAATTTTCTGTATATTCCCTATAACAGCTCTAGCATTGAGAACTTAAGGGTGAATAAATATTTTTCAAATGATTAAATGATTTCCTAAGTTTAATTAGATTACATTTACCACTGATTCCTAAACTATTCAAGATTAATTTTGGATATAAAGTATCCAAAATTATAATCCAAAATGGCTATGAAGTAATGGAACTGATTTCTTTCCATAACTGTTTCATGTCTTCATCTACCTGTATTTCTAGTGAATTTAATTCACTTTCCTCTGACTGAGAACAGTCATAAGAATGTAATAAATATACTCCTAGATCACGGTGAAAAACAAAAAATAATCAAGAAAGTAAAAGAATGAGAAATAAAGTAAAACAGTTTATTATCCCCACTGCCCTCTTCAAATCTTTGTTCATTTGAAATGGGCTAGGTCTCATTCTTTGGCCCAGGCTGGAGTGCAGGGGTGTGATCATAGCTCACTGTAGTCTTAATCTTCCAGGCTCAAATGATCCTCTTGCCTCAGCCTCCCAAGTAGCTGGGACTGTTGGCACACACCACTGATTCATCTCATTTTAAAAAAATTTTTAGTAGAGACAAGATCCTGCTATGTTGCTCAGGCTGGTCTTGAGCTCCTGAGCTCGAGCAGTCCTACTTCAGCCTTTCAAAGTACTGGGATTACAAGCATGAGCCACTGCACCTTGTCCCAAATTGTTTTTTTTTTTTTTTTTGAGACGGAGTTTCGCTCTTGTTACCCAGGCTGGAGTGCAATGGCACCATCTCGGCTCACCGCAGCCTCCGCCTCCTGGGTTCAAGCAATTCTCCTGCCTTAGCCTCCTGAGTAGCTGGGATTACAGGCACGCACCACCATGCCCAGCTAATTTTTTGTATTTTTAGTAGAGACGGGGTTTCACCGTGTTGACCAGGATGGTCTCGATCTCTTGACCTTGTGATCCACCCGCCTCGGCCTCCCAAAGTGCTGGGATTACAGGCTTGAGCCACCGCGCCCGGCCTCCAAATTGTTTTTTAAAGTGGTTATACCAGTTTGTGTACTTAATCAGAAATGTAGTTGGTAAGGAAGTGATCAGTAGGAAGCCTCACATTTGAAGAAAGGAGCCAAAGTATAACTATTTCTAGTGTAGTTAAAAAAGTATAAAGAAGGCTAGGCACAGTGGCTCACACATGTTAATCCCAGCACTTTGGGAGGCCATGGTGAGAGGACTGCTTGAGGCCAGGAGATTGAGACCAGCCTGGGCAACGCAGTGAGACCTCATCTCTACTAAAAATAAAAATAAATTAGCCGGGCATGGTGGCTCACACATGTAGTTCCAGCAACTCAGGGGGCAGAGGCTGCAGTGAGCCATGATTGTGCCACTGCACTCTAGCCTGGGTGACAGGGTGAGACCTTATCTAAAAAAAAAAAAAAAAAAAACTGGAATAAGTATATAGGTAAATATTAGAGGTACTATCACTTATGATAGTATTTATTTTATGTATTAGATTATTACTGTTACAGACACCATAGCTATTACGGTTTTAGAATTGAATTTACTTACAGAACTGAAAGTAATATGTATAAAATGCAAATCTGAGTTCTAATCCTGACTGTCACTTTCTAATTTTATAATCTTGTTTAGGTGGATCCTACTGATCTACTTCCTTTTCAACAGTTAATAGCATATTTCTTAATTTCTGTCAATGTATTAGGCATTAAATTCTGTCTCATTGTGGTCATTTGTGTGTCTGTAATTATTGATTGGGTTAAATTTCAAATGAAATCATTGACAGAGTATATAGTACATGGAGGGCATCTGCTCTATTTTTAAACAAGCCTGTCTCTTTATAAATAATAATATTTTTGCATATAACCTTCCCATATGTAGAAGATTGTTCTTAAAATGTAATTTTCATTCACAAATTTCTTTTCCATCCTAGGTCTAAATGGTATTATGTTTTAAAGTATAAGAGTTATTCTGTTTTGTTTGCAACCTGCATTAGTTTTTTTCTGTCAAAGTCTATAGTATATGTATCCAGGAGCTTCCAAATAGTATGTTCTCATTAAAAGAGGTGTTCTTGTGACAAACAGAAATCTTGCATTTGAAGAAGGAAGCCAAAGTACAACTATTTCTAGCTTGAGTGAAAAAAGTAAAGAAGAAACTGGAATAAGTTTACAGGTAAATATTAGAGGCTCTATTATTTATGACAGTATTTCTCTCATAGTTTGGATTATTTTGTTATAGACACTGTACAGATGCCATTTGATTTTTAAACTGAATTTACTTATTGGACTAAGCATCATATATATAAATTTATGGTCTGAAGCTTAAGCCTTGGAGTAGACTGACTTGAATTCTAATACTGCCTCTGCCACTGGTTGAGCTCCCTTATCTGAAAGACGAAAGTAAAACTACCTGTCTCAGAGTTTATACCATGCATTTTCTGCCATAACACCCTATTCATTTCCTCTATAGCACTTAGGGTATAAAACTATATATTTATTTGTTTGCTTGCTTATTGTATGTCACAGAAGAAGCGGATTGCTTCTTCTATAAGTTTCTTGATACCCATTTTCAAATTGGCTCACGTTACTGTCTGGTATGCTTACTGAATTTCTTTGATCAATTCATTCCTTCACAATGACAATTTCAACTTTAAACCTCTCGTCTTCTCTTCAACACTGTTGCTTTCAGCCTGCCTCCTACTTGGAGAAAATAGAAGGCATAGATAGGAAATCTTACCATTTGCCACTATCAGATGTTGAAATCTCCTGGCATCTGCTCCTGTCATAACCTTCCCTTTTGTTATAGAAGCAGTTTCTCCTATTTGAGACTAATTCTGCCTCTGCCTTGTTTTTTTATCTGCTCTTTCTCAGGCACTTTATTTTTTAATATGCTATTCTCCCTTTGAACTATGTTCTGAACATTTTTAAACCTCTCCTGTTTAAAAATTCCCTTTCTCCCAAACACAAAAAAATTTCCTTCTTCCCTATGTTCTCTTTAAGTATCACCCTCTCCCTTCCCTTTCTGATCCACTCTCCTGATTTTTCTCCTTTCACTTTTGCCTTCTTCATAGTCTCCTCCTCCTCTACTGAGTTTTTGGAATATTGTCTGTATACTAAGCACTGTAATAAGCATGGGTACTGAACTTTTCTACTCTGAGGACTTGATTTCTCATTATGAATAGAAACATTTGAATTGGAACTATAGAACTATGCCAATATAAATGAATTTGTATGTAGAAAATATTTCACAGAGTAAGCACCATAAAGGCAGTTCAATTGCTTGATCACTTTTCTATGCAATATAGTTCCTAATATTTTCTATTTTATGATTTTTATGAGATTCATTTAAACATAATCTAGCTTTTCTTTGTAAATTTTGCAACGAAGATTTGAGTAACCAAATTACTTTATTCATATCAAATTTTACCAATTCCAGTAAAGTTTTGTGCTATCTTTCAAAGAAAAATCCATGACCTTTATTCTTACCAAATTCAGTTTTTAAGAGTCATACTTTGCAGGACTGTATTTTCCCATTTACAGTTTTTGGGTTTTTTTTCAGACAGAGGCTGGCTCTGTCACCCAGGCTGGAATGCAGTGGTGCAATCATAGCGCACTGCAACCTCTGCCTCCCAGGCTCAAGCCATCCTTCCACCTCAGCCTCACAAGTAGCTGGGACTACAGGCATGCCCCATCGTGCCCAGCTAACTTTTGTAGAGATGGGAGTTTAGCCATGTTGCCCAGGCTGATCTTGAACTCCTGAGCTCAAGCATTCTGCCTGCCATGGCTATTCAAAGTTCTGGGATTAAAGACGTGAACCACTGCGCCCAGCCCATGTACAGTTTTACGTGTTGACAATATTGTTTGGTTTTGTTTGTGTGATTATTTTTGCATGTGATAAAAGCCTGGTAGATTGGTACTTATTTCTTATCTAATTCATGAAATTGTAGGCAATTCTTCTCAAGTAGTCTACAGTCCTCCTGTTGTCTAGGACCAGTCTGCTGTGTTGCTGATCCAAATCGTTAGTATATACAGTTGACCCTTGAACAGTGTGTGGGTTATAAGCGCTAACCCCTGTGCTATTGAAAGTCCAGGTATAACTAAATTAGTAGTCAAAAGTTAACTACTAATAGTCTACTGTTGACCAGAAGTCTTACCGATGATATAAACAACACATATTTTGTATATGTATTATATACTGTATTTTTACAATAAAGTAGCTAGAGAAAAGAAAATGTTGTTGAGAAAATCATTAGGAAGAGAAAATACATTTACAGCACTGTACTGTATTTATCAATACCATAAGTTTACATCATCTTTTTATAATGAATCATCTGTCATTATAATGAATTGCAGGCAACCAGTGCTGGCTGATATGTACTTTAGGCCTTAATCTACAGTACATATCAAGCAATTCACCGTTTTCTTGTAATGACATGACTTTTCTCTGCTTCTTGGAAGCACCTCCAGCCTCCCATGGTAATAATCAACGCTTACAGTATTGCAGTAAACACAGTGAAAAAATACATGAGAAGCTGAAGAGATTACTTTTTACTGTTATACACAATTTACTAGAGAGATAAACTGCTCATGTGGAAATGATTCGTGTCACATGGTATTTAAGCACATACAACACAATAATGCTCACCACAATAGCAACAGGAGGTAACTCCAAAATTATTACAGTAGTCCAATATGTACTACAGTTAATCTTATGCAGTTATGATTTAATATTACATCTTTACATTTGTTTATATTTGTCTTAACTGCAAATAATGCTTTGTACAGTGTGTGTAAGTTTTGATAAATTTTAACTTTTTGTAATAGATTTGTGTATATTTTATGCTAGTAAATGACAAAATGTATTATATCAAATATATACAAATAGAATGTGTAGATTAGTATATACATTTATTTTATGCATTCATTATATTCATTTTATGCATTCATTAACTTTTAAAAAATTTTTCAGTATTTCTGAACATGTGGTTTGTGCGTTTTTTCAAATTGTTTCAGATCTCCAAAAACATTTTCAGTATATTTATTGAAAAAAATCCACATATATAAATTGTCCTGCACAGTTCAAACTCGTGTTGTTTAAGGGTTAACTGTATTTCAGAATCATTACATTTTATTTCCATAACATAACATTTACAGTTAGGAGTCATATACTGGTAATGTTACAATTTAAAATTTGCTAAATTTATAGACTAATTTTTTTTTCCTTCTTCAATTTTTGTTGTTTCTGTGTTTTCAGGATCTTCTCTTAGAAATCTACAGAAGTATTGGAGAGCCAGATAGTTTGTATGGCTGTGGTGGAGGGAAGATGTTACAGCCCATTACTAGGTAACTTGTATTTTTCTTTTCTTCTTTTCTTTCTTTCTTTTTTTTTGAGACAGAGTTTAGCTCTTATTACCCAGGCTGGAGCAATCTTGGCTCACCATGACCTCCGCCTCCTGGGTTCAAGAGATTCTCCTGCCTCAGCCTCCGGAGTAACTGTGATTACAGGCATGCGCCACTACACCCGGCTAATTTTGTATTTTTTTTTAGTAAAGATGGGTTTCTCAGTGTTGGTCAGGCTGGTCTTGAACTCCCGACCTCAGGTGATCTGCCTGCCTCAGCCTCCCAAAGTGCTGAGATTACAGGTGTGAGCCACTGCACCCAGCCAGTAAATTGTATTTTCTAAACAGTTGTATAGTAATTCTGTTTATGAAGGAGTTATATGCGTGTAAAACCCAAAGGTATTTTTACCATATTTTCTTATAGACTACGAACATATGAACATGAAGCAATGTGGGGCAAAGCCCTAGTAACATATGACCTCGAAACAGCAATCTCCTCATCCACCCGCCAGGCAGGAATCATTCAGGTACATTTTTTTTTTTCCAGATTTGGTAAAGCCATCATTAGTGTAGTGCTGAGGTTATTTCAGTATGTTAGTGGATATTTACACAGCCAAATAAACTCTAGGGATAAGACTGAAAGTTACCTGTTTTTCAGAGGATTAGGTTAAACATTCAGGAATATTCCTGAAGCAGAGGGATGCAAAAAAAAAAAAAAAAAAGAGGAAACAAAATTCAGGGATACAAAGGAAAGTTGGACAGGTCATTGACCTAGAAGGTGGTGTAGCTTTCTTGGTCACAGTGTTGTTGGATAACAATAGAAGACGTTTTTTGAGCATATACAATGCGTTAGGTAGTGTACTTACTGCTTCACATGGAAAATCTCATGTAAACTATTTCTCATAGTTTGTAATAGAGTTCATCCCAGAACCTATTATTTCTATTATTGGCTAGTACTCCTTAGCTATTCTTTCATGAAATATTAGAGCCCTTTGAGCTCTGTCTTTGTGTTTCTTTGGGAAACATTAAACAATATTGTGGGATTAAAAAAATTTTTTTTAGAGATAAGGTGTCACCCTGTTATTGAGGCTGGAGTGCATTAGCGTGATCGCAGCTCACTGCAGCCCAACCTCCCAGGCTCAGGGGCACCTCTCACTTGCAGCTACCCAAGTAGATGGGGCTACAGGTACACACCATCATACCCAGGTAATTAAAAAAAATTTGTAGAGACAGGGTCTTGCTTTGCTGTCCAGGCTGGTCTCAAACTCCTGGGCTCAAGTGATCCTCCAGCCTCAGCCTCCCAAAGTGCTGAGATTACAGGCATGAGCCACCACACCCAGCTGATATTTTGGGATTTTAAGCGATACTGTGAATTAAAATTTGTATAAGTTAATTTTTATGTTTACTGTTTTTTCTCTTGTTTTCTGTTGATTACTTAAAAAATATAATTCCTGTTCAGGCCTTGCAGAATTTGGGACTCTGCCATATTCTTTCCATCTATTTAAAAGGATTAGATTATGAAAATAAAGATTGGTGTCCTGAACTAGAGGAGCTTCATTACCAAGCAGCATGGAGGAATATGCAATGGGACCACTGCAGTTCTGCCAAGTAAGAAGAAATTTGACTTGATTTTTCCCCCTCTTTTAGTTCTAAACAACAACTGTTTTCCTCTTGTTCTGTGAATATAATAGGAATTGTGTGGGTTTTTTTTATTTTTTATTTTACTGCATTTTACGTTTTGAAGTACATGTGAAGAACATGCAGGATTGTTGCATAGGTACATAAATGGCAATGTGGTTTGCTGCCTTCCTCTCCATCACCTATAACTGGCATTTCTCTCCATGTTATCCCTCCCCAACTCCCCATCCCCCTGACCCTCCCCTAGTTCCCCCTCAACACAGACCTCAGTGTGTGATGCTCCCCTCCTTCTGTCCATGTGTTCTCATTGTTCAACACCCACTTGTAAGTGAGAACATGCAGTGTTTGATTTTCTGTTCTTGTGTCAGTTTGCTGAGAATGATGATTTCCAGGTTCATCTATGTCCCTACAAAGGACACGAACTCATCATTTTTTATGGCTGCATAGTATTCCATGGTGTATATGTGCCACATTTTCCCTGTCCAGTCTATCATTGATGGGCGTTTGGGTTGGTTCCAAGTCTTTGCTATTGTAAACAGTGCTGCAGTGAACATTCATGTGCGTATGTCCTTATAATAGATCAATTTGTAATCCTTTGGATATATACCCAGTAATGGGATTGCTGGGTCAAATGGAATTTCTGTTTCTAGGTCCTTGAGGAATCGCCACATTGTCTTCCACAATGGTTGAACTAATTTACACTTCCACCAACAGTGTAAAAGCGTTCCTATTTCTCCACATCCTCTCCAGCATCTGTTGTCTCCAGATTTTTTAATGATCACCATTCTAACTAGCGTGAGATGGTATCTCAATGTAGTCTTGATTTGCATTTCTCTAATGACCAGTGATGATGAGCATTTTTTCATATGTTTGTTGGCCTCACGTGTGTCTTCTTTCGTTCATATCTTTCGCCCACTTCTGAATGGGTTCATTTGTTTTTTTCTTGCAAATCTGTTTTAGTTCTTTGTAGATTCTGGATATTAGCCCTTTGTCAGGTGGGTAGACTGCAAAAATTTTTTCCCATTCTGTTGGTTGCTGGTTCACTCTAATGATTGTTTTTTTTGCTGTGCAGAAGCTCTGGAGTTTAATTAGGCCCCATTTGTCTATTTTGGCTTTTGTTGCCAATGCTTTTGGTGTTTTAGTCATGAAGTCCTTCCCTATGCCTATGTCCTGAATGGTTTTGACTAGGTTTTCTTCTAGGGCTTTTATGGCATTAGGTCTTATGTTTAAGTCTTTAAACCATCTGGAGTTAATTTTAGTGTAAGGTGTCAGGAACGGGTCCAGTTTCTGCCTTCTGCACATGGCTAGCCAGTTTTCCCAACACCATTTATTAAACAGGGAATCCTTTCCCCATTGTTTGTTTTTGTCAAGTTTGTCAAAGATCAGATGGTTGTAGATGTGTGGCGTTGCCTCCGAGGCCTCTGTTCTGTTCCATTGGTCTCTGTTTTGGTACCAATACCATGCTGTTTTGATTACTGTAGCCTTGTAGTAGTATAGTTTGAAGTCAGGTAGCGTGATGCCTCCATCTTTGTTCTTTGTGCTTAAAATTGACTTGGCTATTATGCAGGCTCTCTTTTGGTTCCATATGAAGTTTAAGGTGGTTTTTTTCAGTTCTGTGAGGAAGGTCATTGGTAGCTTGATGGGGATAGTGTTGAATCAATAAATTACTTTGGGCAGTGTGTCCATTTTCACGATATTGATTCTTCCTAACCATGAACATGGAATGTTTTTCCATCTGTTTGTGTCCTCACTTATTTCGTTGAGCAGTGTTTTGTAGTTCTCCTTTAAGAGGTCCTTTACATCCTTTGTTAGTTGTATTCCTAGGTATTTTATTCTCTTTGTAGCAATTGTGAATGGCAGTTCATTTTTGATTTGGCTCTCTTTAAGTTTCTTATTGGTGTACAGGAATGCTTGTGATTTTTGCACATTGATTTTGTATCCTGAGACTTTGCTGAAGTTGCTTATCAGTATCAAGAGATTTTGGGCTGAGAGTATAGGGTCTTCTAAATACACAATCATGTCATATGCAAATAGAGACAATTTGACTTCCTCCTTTCCTAATTGAATATCCTTTATTTCTTTTTGTTGCCTGATTGCTCTGGCTAGAACTTCCAATACTATATTGAATAAGATTGCTGAAAGAGGGCATCCCTGTCTAGTGCCAGATTTCAAAGGGAATGCTTCCAGTTTTTGCCCATTCAGTATGATATTGGCTGTGGGTATTTTGTAGATATTGCAAGCCATAAATAGCCCTAAATCCTTCAGTAAGATAGCAATAAGCAGTTAATGCACCTAGGCTTGAGTTTTACTTTCTTCTTCTGTTAGGACAACTTCACCCGACCCCTAAATATTTCTAAAAACAGAAAAATGAAGAGTTTTCTTATGGGAAGCATTTCACATACTGTTTGTAGGACTGAGGCGTGCCAAGAAATGTACAGGCATTCCTCTTTCTACTCCCTGCTACAAACATTTCAGTCAGTAAGATAGCACTTATATTGGCTGGAGGATCCACAAAGGACTGCTTATTTTATTTATGAAATATTTTCTTTTATTAAAAAATAATATGGCTGGGCATGGTGGCTTATGCCTGTAATCCTAGCACTTTGGGAGGCCGAGGCGGGTGGACTGCCTGAGCTCAGGAGCTCAAGACCAGCATAGGTAACATGGTGAAACCTCATCTCTACTAAAATACAAAAAATTAGCCGGGCATGGCAGTGTGTACCTGTAGTCCCAGCTACTCAAGAGGTTGAGGCAGGAGAACTGCTAGAACCTGCGAGGCAGAGGTTGCAGTGAGCCGAGATCGCACCACTGCACTCCAGTCTGGATGACACAGAGAGACTCTGTCTCTTAAAAAAAAAAAAAAATTATACCTACTTAGGGCTGGGCGCATGGTGCAGCGGCTCACGCCTGTAATCCCAGTACTTTGGGAGGCTGAGGCGGATGGATCACTTGAGATCAGGAGTTTGAGACCAGCCTGGCCAACATGGTGAAACCCCATCTCTGCTACAAATACAAAAAGTAGCCAGGTGTGGCAGCACACACTTGTAGTACAATCTACTCAGGAGGCTGAGGTAGGAGAATGCCTGAATTTGGGAGGGCGAGGTTGCAGTGGGCCAAGATTGCGCCGCGGCACTCCAGTGTGGGCCACAGAGTGAGACTCACTCTCTCAAAAAAAAAAAAAAAACCACTTAGTTACCCAGGAAGATAACATTTATAATCTGTATATATGGTCACCAGGTTTTCTGAGTGAAAAGCCAAGTACCTAATCTAAGAAGGGATTTCATATTTATGGAAAGTCTTTTGATAATATAAACACTAAAAAATAAATCATGTTTAACTATGTGTTGTTGCCTTTGTAGAAAAAAAAATTATTGGCCAGGCGTGGTGGCTCACGCCAGTAAACCGAGCACTTTGGGAGGCCGAAGAGGGTGAATCACTTGAGGTCAGGAATTCAAGACAAGCCTGGGAAACATGGTGAAACCCTGTCTCTAAAAAAAAATACAAAAGTTAGCTGGGAACAGTGGCATGCGCCTGTAGTCCCAGCTGCTGGGGAGACTGAGATGGGAGGCTGAGGTGAGGGGATCTCTTGAACCAAGGAGGCGGAGGTTGCAGTGAGCCGAAATTATGCCACCGCACTCCAGTCTAGGCAACTGAGTGAGACGCTGTCTCAAAAACTAGTAATTATTATTGGAGCACTTTTCAAATATTTCAAACTGTAAGACTGCTATAAAGTTAGAGATATGCTCATATTTTAAAAACTTTTTCCTGTGTGAGCTGATTCTTGCTTGCCTCTGTAAATCAGTATATACTATTCTTCCCCTTGCCTACTGTGTTTCAGCCACGCAGGCCTCTCTGTGGTTTCTTATTAGGCCAAGCTCTTTGTATCCAATGGCCTTAGATGTATCTTCTGCTTTTCCCCCAGTTACTATGTGGGTAGGTTCTTTTTATTTGGACCGTAGTTAAATAATATTATATCTTCAGAGATACCTTTCTTGACTACCCATTCTATAATAGCCACCTAGCCATTTTGTTTTGTTACCCTGTTTTAATTCTCTGCATGTCCCTGGTTACTTTCCACTATTTATTTATTGTCTATTCCTCCAAACCAGCACATAAATTCCAGGAGAGTAGAGACGTGATCTGACTTCTCCATTTGTAAATCCCCCTTGTGCCTAGTGCCTGGCACGTAATAGGTATTTATTGAATAAATAAATGAAAGTAGACCATATTTACAGCCAGGCAAAGTATCTGAGTAATTTCCTTTTTTTCTGCTTAAAGAATTTAAATGACTCATGAAATTTGTATTTTTTTTTAAGGCTACTCTGCAGATCTAAAAATTTGTATTTGTTACCAAAGATTCTAGAAATGCATTTTGTAGAATGGAGAAATTTTAATTTTAATTTAAAAATTTTGTCCTTTGGTGAAGTTATTTATACACATATATTTTAGGGTTCTGTTTTTAAATATATTTTTTCTCTGATTTATTATCTCACAGCAAAGAAATAGAAGGAACCAGTTACCATGAATCATTGTACAGTGCTCTGCAATCTCTAAGAGACAAAGAATTCTCTACATTTTATGAAAGTCTCAAATATGCCAGGTATTATAAAAAGACAAAGTTATTGTATTTTAACATTTCATATCATGGCTTCTTTTCTGAAAACATGAGAAATAATTTTAATATAAGGGTTTGCATTTATGAAGGGATAAAGACTTGGTGGCTGTGACCAGATGTTTCCTTGTAATTTTCTACCCTGCCTCAAGACAAACTGTTTTTGGGATTCCAGATCCATTCCTTACCCTGAGTCTTCAAGAAAGTTTTGGTGATTCTCACTTCTTTGTTCTCTTACTGTTCAAGTATCCTGAGAATTGTATCTTGTCTCCTTTAGTAATTATATGGCATTTAGTGTTCTAATTTATAAAATTGTAACTAATGGTTAATACTTACAAGCTTGTTTTGAGGCACAAATGAGATGAGGCATGAAGAAATAATTATAATGGGCTAAACAAATATACCATTTTTTAAAACAGTAGTGAATTAAATAAATCCTATGTTTATCATAGAAATAAAATTTACTACCGTTGAAGTGCCTATTATCTGCTAGCCACTGTTAGACTCTTTTCATATGTATTCTCTAATCATGACAATAACTATGGATGTCCAGTAACATGCCTAAAGTTACACAGCTATCAGTGACAGAGCTGCAATTTAGATCTAGGCCTGTATGATTCCAAGGCTTACAGTTGATCCTTGAACCACTTGGAGGTTAGGAGTGCTGAGTATTTGAAAATGTGAGTATTACTTTGACTTCTCAAAAGCTTAACTACTAATAGCTTACTGTTAACCAGAAGCCTTACCAATAACATAAGCAGTAAATTAACACATATTTTGTATAAATATTATATGGTAAGCTAGAGAAAAGAAGATGTTATTGAGAAAATTACAAGGAAGAGAACACATATTTACTATTGATTAAGTGGAAGTGAGTCATCATAAAGGTCTTTGTCCTTGCCATCTTCATGTTGAGTAGGATAAGGAAGAAGGGTTGGTCTTATTATCTCAGGGGTGGCAAAGATGGAAGAAACTCTGAGTATAAGTGGACCATGCAGTTAAATTCATGTTCAGTGGTCAGCTGTATTTTATTTCCACTCCTATTTCATATTCACTGTTGCTTGTGTTAGTATTATTAGATCAATAGCAAAGCCTCTAATGGGAACGCTTTAGCCGCAAATTTGAACTTTTATTTCCCTGAAAACCTTCTCTTTGTTTTTAGAGTATCTTTTCTTTTTTGTTACTAGAGTGAAAGAAGTGGAAGAGCTGTGTAAGGGCAGCCTTGAGTCTGTATATTCGCTCTACCCCACACTTAGCAGGTTGCAGGCCATTGGAGAGCTGGAGAGCATTGGGGAGCTTTTCTCAAGGTATGTAATTCCTGTGACTTTTTTATCCTTAAGTGCAGCTTTTCTGTTACCAATAGTGACTATAAAAAGTAAATACCGGGTGCAGTGGCTCATGCCTACTATAATCCTAGCACTTTGGGAGGCCGAGGTGGGTGGATCACTTGCAGTCAGGAGTTCAAGACCAGCCTGGCCAATATGGTGAAACTGTATCTCTGCTAAAAATACGAAAATTAGCTGGACGTGGTGGTGAGCGCCAGTAATGTCAGCTACTCGGGAGGCTAAGGCAGGAGAATTTCTTGAACCCAGCAGGTGGAGGTTGCAGTGAGCTGAGATCACGCCATGCACTCCAGCCTGGGCGACAGAGTAAGACTGTCTCAAAACAAAAACAAAACTATTTTGAGACCAGATGTGCTTCTTTCCTTTTATCAAGATATAAGTTGATTAGCCCTAGTGAATTGTGCTTTTACTAAACATTTTCCAAAATAGTCATTGTAAAAATTCAAGTTTTAAAAATTCACCTTAAATGTGCTTTTCTCTTTATAACTTTTTCCCTGGTCTACGCAGATAAAATTGCTTCCCCATGTTTTTGCACAGCATGTTAAACTCCATTTGGCTTTAGCACTACATTGCGTTACTGCCTTGCTAAAGTAGAAGCTCCCTTACAAGTGGGAACCCTTCTCTTGTTTATTGTTGGATCCCCAGTGTTTTTGTTTTGTTTTATTTTTTTTTTATGTTTTTTGAGATGGAGTCTCACTCTTTTGCCAAGATGGGAATGTCGTGTTGTAATCTCAGCTCACTGCCACCTCCACCTCCCAAATTTAAGTGATTCTCCTCCCTCAGCCTCCTGAATAGCTGGGATTATAGGTGCCTGCCACAATGCCTGGCTAATTTTTGTACTTTTAAAAAAATTTTTTGAATCGGAGTCTGGCTCTGACACCAGGCTGGAGTGGAGTGGCACAATCTTGGCTCACTGCAACCCCCACCTCTGGTTGAAGTGATTCTTCCGCCTCAGCCTTCGGAGTAGTTGGGACTACAGGCGTGCACCACCACACCCAGCTAATTTTTGTATTTTTTAGTAGAGATGGGGTTTCTACTAAACCATGTTGGCCAGGATGGTCTCAATCTCCTCACCTTGTGATCTGCCCTCCTCAGCCTCCCAAAGTGCTGGGATTATAGGCATGAGCCACCACGCCCCACCATTTTTGTACTTTTAATAGAGATGGGGTTTCACCATGTTGGTCAGGCTGGCCTCGAACTCCTGACCTCAGGTGGTCCACCTGTCTCAGCCTCCCAAAGTGCTGGGATTGCAGGCGTGAGCCACCATGCCTGGCCCCCAGTGTTTTCTTTTCTGGTGAACTGATACTATATTTAGTAAATATTCAGTGGATAGTGAATGTCAGTTAATTTGTAAAAGGTGTTCAGAGGGAATTGCTTCCTATAATGGTGAGAGGGAAATGATCCAGGGATTTTATAAGATGAAATAGTATAGTTATTTAGGATGCTATAGATCTAAATTCTGACTTTGTCATTCTGACAAAGTAAAATACGTTTTGGGTCCTCTAAAGTCAGGAATTTATATTTGATTGTCTCTAAAGCTCCTTTTAGTCCTGCCATTTTGAGTCACCATTATTATTATAAGAGGGAAGAAAGAGGATATAAATAACTAAGGTCACCCTACCTTTATGCAAAAATAAAATTTGGAATATGTTTTAGAACTAGAAAAAAGAAGGACATTTTAGAGTCAGAAGAAAATAAACAATAGTTTTTTCAAAATTACATAGCAGAAGACAAAGATGTTAATGTGGCTTTTCTTAGGGAGAAAATAAAGGAACAAAACTTTTCTGCTTTCATTGATAAGTACATTGGCAGTTCTTCCAAAAATCAAGAAAGTTTTCCTCTGAATGAAAGATTTCTCTTGCTAAAAACAGAAAAACAGGATAGAATTCTTTAAGAAACAGTGAATAGAATGGTAGTTACCAGAGGCAGGGAAGGGTGTTGGGGAAGGAGAGGATGAAGAGGGGCTGATTAATGAGTACAAAAACATAGTTAAATAGAAGGAATAAGATCCAGTGTTTTATAGCACAACAGGGCTACTGTAGTTAACAGTAATTTACCAAAGAAGATTTGGAATGTTTCCAACACAAAGAAATGATAAATGTTTGAGATCATGGATATCCCACCCAAATTTGATCATAACACATTGTATGCGTGTATCAAAGTATCACATGTACCTCATAAATATGTACAACTATTATATATCCATAAAAATCAAAAATAAATTTAAAAAGAAGAAACACTTAAGGAATAATACTGGCTCTTTCTTTGGTAGAGAAATAGGAGGAAGAGAAGCAGAGGGAAAGTCTGATAAACTGGTGAACAAATGCTTATGCTCTCAGAGTAGATTTCATTCATATACTTCAACCAAAACATCCTATCATAACAAACTAAATGCAAAAGCAGAGATGAGTATTCAACTTGTTCTGTTGAATAATTAATTTAATGTCTGTCCAGACATTAAAGAGATTTGCAAAAATGCAAAATAGTGCAATTCTAACAAATTCTAACAAAACTAAGTTTTGTTTTGCTTTGGGAAGTATACAGTTGAAATTCTTTATCTGCAGGTTTCCATCCGTGGATTCAACCAACCACAGATCAAAATAGTTTTTAAAAAAATTTAAAGAATACAATATAACACTTATTTACATAGCATTTACATTATAGTAGGTATTGTATGTAATTAGAGATTTGTGTATAACCAATGCACATTCTCCTATCATACGTAATCTAGAGATTACACATTATAGGAAAATACCCTGCCATTTTAACTAAGGGACTTTGAGCATCAGACTTACCAAGGTGTCTTGGAACCAATTTTCTGCAGATACGGAGAAACTACTATAGTTATTTTTCCTGAAAACTGTTATTTATGATATATAGATTTATTATTTTTGAATAAATGAATACATTTTAGATGTTTTTCAGTCCTACTTTCTAATATGATATCAATATCTAATATCAGTAGATATGGTCCAACAATTGAAAGTTCTTTGGGGTCTTCAATAATTTGATTGTAAAGGAATTCCTCAAAAAATCTGAGACCTACTGTTGGGTCATTTAGGGAGGAGTTGAAGTTTTGGTTCCTAGCATTTGTGTTAATGTTTCCTTCCCTGTCAAGCAACTAAAAGAGCTTTCATTTCTTAGTCATCGCTTTGTCATCTTAGTCTCCCTGCGTCATCTTTCTTATTTCTCTCAATATATCCCTGAAGGATTGGGTAGTATTTCATAGCTCAGTTATTTGGGAAGCATACTATTCACATAAATTAATTATATAATATACCTTTTCTGTTCCTTTAATAATGTTGGTAAATGAAACCCTTGTCAGATGCCAGCTTTTCCTTCACTGGATTGTGATTTTTTTTTTGACAGCTGTAATTATGCATCAAGTCATCCCCAGTAAGGGAGGTCTCATTTCCTTGCTAACATGTCCTCATTTACTACAAGCAGTATTGAAAGAGGACTAAAGATGTAGGCATTCTTTATGATACGTCTGATGAATATGTTCTTGTTTCAGAAGGGTGTCTAGAAAGGCTGCTTTTTGTAATGTCAGAGTATTAAAAATATTTGTCAATGTTTATCATCTGTGGCATCTCTTTTAATAACCTCTTAGAGCTCTGACCACATAGCATTTTGTAGTTTTCTAAATTTTGATCCATATTTAGGATTATTTACAAGTTTAGTCTTGTCACTACGAAAGTTCTTTTGTATTATTAATATTATATCTTAAGTTTCAGAACTTACATCGTTTCTTCTGTTGTTGTTGTTCCTCTTACTTACATGAACTCTGTGATGTGGCGTTCAGATCAGTTACACATAGACAACTCTCTGAAGTATATATTAAGTGGCGGAAACACTCCCAGCTTCTCAAGGACACTGATTTTAGTTTTCAAGAGCCTATCATGGCTCTACGCACAGTCATTTTGGAGATCCTGATGGAAAAGGAAATGGAGAACTCAGAAAGAGAATGTTTTAAGGACATTCTCACCAAACACCTTGTAGAACTCTCTATACTGGCCAGAACTTTCAAGAACACTCAGGTAAATATAATTTAACACTATGTCATCCCACCTCTTGACCTTCCCTTTATTATTTAAAAAACAAAGTCTGAGTGAAAAAGAAAT